AGGTATTTATTCAGATTCCACCCTTGCAATCATGTTTTCTTGGCATACCACTATAGACCTAAATGATCTTCTTAGTATAGTATTGTATAACCCACTGAAGCATGTATTTTTGTAGATTTTTAACTGTACAGGCCCCTATGTTTTTTAAGGGGTGGGGTTATCTTCACTGTGATCTACTGTATTTAGTTACCGTTATATAAGCGTCGAAGTTCGATACTTTATATGAGATTCATTACATTCAAAAGTTTGTCTAGTCACACAAAGTTAAACTTATAAAAGAAAGGTTGTTTCATCATAATTTATGCTACCTATTCTAAGCCTAGTGTTTCAATACTGTATTGTTGTATGTACACTTTGATTAACTTGCTATGGACACTCATGGTGTCATCGACCCACTTTTTTATCACGTGAGTTATGTAATCATATTGGGAGTGAAACATGGACTTGACCAGACTATCAAATTTTATTTTTTTTTAAATGCCTAAATATTGTCTGATGACATCACATCATGATCATATAGGCACATCATGTATATATATATTTACATACTATATATTTTTTTTGTCAACAAAATTGATAACATGGACAGAGCTAAACATTTCTTTGGTTCGTTGCTGTACGATCATCATTGATTAAATTTTGTATGGATTATCATGATCCTTGTTCAAGCAACACGCATTAACTCCAATCAGATACTGCCTCTTTACATTTTTATCTCTTTCCCGACTTCAAATTAACATAAGCTGTTTCTTCTTCTCTGTATTGTAGATCTTGGTAAGTCTGGTTTTCATTGCCAGCATTTGGCCTATCTGTCGTGAAGTCCATGTAAGTCTGTGTCGAGATATGAAATGCAATATATCAATGTAATTTATCGTTTGTAACTTGTTGCTTAAGTGAAATGGATCTATACGCTTTTAATACATTCTTAAAAACACATTCTCACTGGCGCTCATCCATAGCGGTAACTAAGCAACAAGCCAGGAAATGATAGAACACAATCAAGTGTGTGAGTTTCGAAAAATATATAAACCGGGAGGTTTATAGATTCTTTCAGAGGGCCTATTCCCAAAGATTTAAATATTGGAGTAGGCCTACATTTTACAAGTATACAAACGCTTTTAATAATCCATAGAATATCAACTGCCAGTCGGCATATTGTATGTTTTTTCATTGGTATCAGACTTTGTTTGGCCTAAAAACCGTAGAACCGAAGCGGTTGCATGCCAGGGGTAGGCCTGAGTATCCATGGAAAGAACCAGTGTTATCAACGATGTGGATAGGACCCGGTACCGGATCCATTGTCGTTTGACCAACGTATTATAATTTATGGGTAAGTCTAGGAAGGCGTTATCGATAGAATATCAACCTAAATCCTTCACAAAATTAAAAACATAATTAGGCCTACAGATACCATGGCTTTGTGCACGTGGCACAAAGTGGATTGGTAACTCGTATCAGAGGTGAATTAGAGTATTAAAAACTTACATCTTGTTTACTTTTGTCCGTACTTCTCTTGTCTATTTTTGTCTTCTAAATTGAAATTAAAAAAAATATTAATACAATTTGCAGTCATACCTATTTCTGTCGTTCTACTGTATTTATTTGTTTTATTTAAATTTTATGTTGCCCACAATTACTTTATATGTTTATTTATTAATTAAAGTTTAACAATGGAAAGGCTGCCAATTAAGCCTATAGAATGGAGGTTGAAACCACAATGATAAACCACAAGAACATTGACAAGTTGAAACCACAATGATAAACCACAAGAAAATTGACAAATACAAAAAATTGCTTTATATGTGTAATACTTTTCTGGGGCGGATGCAGGATTTGGCGGTGAGTGAGTGTCCAGACCGCCTCAGCCCACCATGGTTTGGGCTGAGGCGGGAAAATTTGCAGAATATGGACCTCTAGGGGCCCGAAAATTACACGCTCATACCTTTAAAATTTTACCGGTAATTCTTATCAACAATATAATAGAACAATTATTTTTCTTAATATAATTTAGAAGGGTGCGATCGCACCGTCTGCACCCCCTCTGCATCCGCCCCAGCTATTTGTGGTTTGTAGAATTTCAAATCCGAGTAAAGTGATTTCAATCAGGACAATTTTACTGTAACATAAATAGAAGGATGGCGGTGAGGGATTGTTGTTTAATTTGGTAATTGAAAGCAATAATCTTGAATAGAACATGAACAATAATTTTGTTAATATGCCTATCTGAGAAACCTGTTTAATCCTCGTGCAGCCGATCAATCCACCAATTACCCCGAGAGCTCCAACAAAGATGCCCACAAAGAACATTCCAATTGTTAGACTCGTGCTACTGGAACAGACTGAACAGACTGCAAGGGGAGAACATACAATTAGTAGGTCATTATACCCCTTCAATCATAATTATTTATTATGATTTAATAATAATGTTAAATAAAGAATAATATTCAATAAATTGAAAACATGAGTAGCAACCCCAACAATAATACCACCAATAATAATAATAATAATAATAATAATAATAATAATAATAATTTAATAGGCCTAATAATGATAATGATGATGACAATACGGTATGATAATGATGGTAATGATGATGATGATGATGTTGATGTTGATGATGATGATGATGATGATGATGATGATGATGATGATGATGATGATGATGATGATGATGATGAAAATAATAAATGAGGGTAATGATAATTGAACAATTCAATTCATTCATAAAATACAAAAAAACAAACAAACAAAAAAACAATAAAAGACAGCGATATACAATGAAATAACAGCAGAAAAAAGAAGTTAAAAACATTACAGGAATAGATTAATAGTACTGTATAATAATTATTGTAAATTATTCGGTAATTAAAATTGAAAAGGTTGGAATAGGCCTAAACAAGAGACAATATTATTATAATTTTTGTCTCTATTATCATTGTCAATATTATTATTATTATTGTTATAATTATTAATATTATTATTATTAATATTAGATGAAAATTGGAGTAAATATTTGAGAGATTGGGGGAAGTCATGAATGAGGTCATTGAGGCACCTGGTTAGAATCGGAATTGCACTGTCGTGGTACCTTTTAGTTCTCCAACTTATAATAGCATACTTATCGTTGTGCCTAAGTTGCATTTGGTCAAATTACGAAACGTGCAGGCTTGACACCTTGACCGCTGATGAATTGTGTCCAAAATTTACTACAACCTCGTAAAATGTAATAATGAGCCATTATCATTATTATATAATTTACGGTACAAATTTAAACCTCTTTGGTTTTCTTCCTTCTTCCTGTCTTTTTGTAAACAATAAAGTAAAATAAAACAAATAAATAAACAATAACAAAAATGGCCCGCGGAGCCGTTAAATCTGGCCCGTGTGAAAAAAATCAGCAAACGCCAAAGATTGGTATTGTAAGTTCTAGCTATACATGGAAAAGCCTGGGAAGAATCGTTAATTGAGTAGACTCAAAATCAAGGTGGTTTTAGGTTTTAATTTACTAAAAAAATAGCACTATGGCACTACCACCTTCTAATCTTTCCCACAGCTTTTTTTTTATCTGGGGGATTTTTTTTCTCTCGGCCTGCTATTTTCTCCCGGCTATTTTCGTCCAGTATTTTTCAGATGCATGATTTTTTTCATATAAGTTCATGTATAAGGCAGAACATAGGCCTTGAAATGATTCCAATTACCAAAGCACTGTAATAATAACATTTATTCATAATCATCAAACCAATCATTTGAACTTAATTAATTTTTATTCTTCTCCGTTGTTGTTAAGCGCCTCGAGGTTGTGTCAACGTGAGGCGCTATATAAATCCAGAATTATTATTATTTATTATATTATTTGTTTTTATTTTTGCTTTTTTTCACTATATATTGTCTTGTTACACCACACAGGTGTGTTGATGATTTAAAAAAAAAAGCTTATCCAATCAATTGATTGATTGATTGATTGACTCTTGATGCATTCGAAATTCTGATGAAGCGTAAAGACACATTTTAGAAACGTCTTTTTAAAAAGTTTGCATCCTGGTTCACTTAAGAGATAGAGGAAAATTGAATCAGGAAATCATTTTTAAACATACACTACTTACTCTTTGGCCTATAAATATCACACCTATTTTCTAGTCGTTCATTATGTATACATGTGGTTGCATCAGCTAATACTTGGGCAAGGTGCGCGAATATTATCAAAGTTTAAGGAGCAGTAGACACAAAAATCGGCATGGAAAAACCAAAAGTTTGTTACCCTTTTATTCCTGTTAAGCAGCGACAAAAAGAAGGACGGATGATTTCATTAATTTGAACTCTCAGTGCCCTTTGGTGATTCTCTTCTACGATTATTACGCCTACTTACCTAAATTTCTTTACTGTTTCTGGTAGCATAACCATGGAGGAATAAGTTTAGTACTTATTCATCCATAGTTTCACTATCAGTATTAGCATTAACTTACCGTTTTATAAATCATGCGGATAATAATAAGCCTAGGTTCACAAAAAGTGTTTATACATTATAAGTAACGTTTCATACACAGAATGCAATTTCAATTCTCTTTCTTTGTCTTGCAAAGAAGACAACTGCAGTGTAAACAGATTATTGATATGTATTCTTTACTAATTATGGTTTCAGAATTTAGATGTTTGCATACCCTAATATATTTTATAAGTCAATCGTGACGTCATCACTGCAACTCCCAATGTTATTTGCCTGTCCACTAATTTTTCAATTAGTGGACGCTTGGCTTGATTTTTTAGGTTCGTGTGCAAAAAAAAAAAAACCTAATTGTTTCGTCACCGCGAAGATATCGTGCACCGCGATGAAAATTGAATTGTAATTGAAAATTGCTTTCGTAAAACAAGGTTAATTAGAACCCGAAGAAAGTTATTTCAAATTCAATATTAATTATGAACAGTTAAGGAAATCTTTTAATCAATGAACCCTAATAAACTAAAGCAACTGAACGTTTAATAGGAATATTCTATACCTATTACTAGAAATTGCAAATTGCAAGTGAAGTGCTGCGAAGTACAACTGCATAAAATGTTCTTCGAACAAAATTATTTATGCGAGTCAAGTGAAAATAATGAATAATAAAAATATAACAAATAATATGAGCACGACCCAATGTCTATTATATTATTAGAACAGCGTTGGTACAATAGTGTTTTGCTGCAGTGACATCTCTCTGCTGGCGATGGCTCGCTGCGGCTGGCGATGACTCGCTGCTGGCGAATCGATCTGCGCATGTGTATAAAATGGTATTTATTTCCGCAAACACTATGCCAGTCTACAACAAGCGTCGCCTAAATGTAATAATTAGCACGTTGAAATAGGCTAGTAAATAAGTTTAACTGGGTTCGTAAATAATATTGTCCTCAAAATATTGTGGCTGAGACATGAGCCGATTAAACGTAGAAATAGAAAACCTAGAAATATAGTAAAAACGCTGAATAGTACTCCAGCGTCGCGACATGCCGACGTTGGTACGAGTAGGTCAGTCTACAAACGTCGCCTAAAGTAATTGATTTTACCCGGCAGAACGAAAGAAGGAAACTCCGCTTTTCAGTTGTCTCAGGCGATTGATTTTTGACAAACAATGACCTTTCAGAGGTCAAATTGCTGTCAAGATTATGAATTGGCTGCTTCGCAGCAATTAAAGACTCAAGGCACGAAGTTAGCTGGAGGCCTGCAAGCACGTAGTCGTATCTTAGCGTAGTTATGAAATCATCGCACAAATTTTACCTGCCTGCACCGACCAATCGGTGACTGTATTCTCTCTCGAATCTTTAAGAAATGTTTATTTCTTTGACGAGTGTATCAAAAAAGCATTACAAATAAGGGATTCTAACACAATACAATTACAATATTATTCATCGTATCCGTACTGTAGCACAATAAAAAGTATAATTTGAAATTACCAAAACAATTATAACGAGTTACTTTATGACTCAGATATTATCTGTGGCCCGTGAGCTCAACTCAAAAAATATTTGGCCCTTTAAACAAATTAATTAAGAACTAGGGGCCTAGATTGTAGGTGCAAATTAGTGATGGGTTTTGTGTCTCAATACATGGGTTAAAGGGTGAAAGCAGGCAGGTTTAAAACAATCATGTTTTTTCGGGGGAGGAGGGTGTGTTTAAATTTGATCTGCTTTGATTTACTTGGTTTTGTTTTTCTTTGGATGCATCGGGTCGGACGAGTACCACTGTTGTAAAAGTGTCGTTTCGAAATAAAGAATAATAGGATAAGAACTTTCTGACAAGATTCATGTAACGTAATTAATAGAGGTATAATTTTAGTTGTACATGTGCTGATGATGTGTTGTGCTTGTTCATGACTAGGTAAATCAAAGATCATCCCATTGTTTCTGACACTGTTGGGAATTTGAACAGTCAGTAGTTTAAGATATAGTGGCAAAATAGTTAAATAACATCATATTATAGCCTTTTGGTTTCTCTATAAATGTGAAAAAAAAAATCAAAACAAATATCGCGACTACAGTAACCGTTTCGTAATGTGGACATCAAAACTGGTACTGGTATTGATACAAATAGTCTTCTTTTTCAAGACGTTAGGCAGACATCAGACATTAACTTGAGGTTGACATTAATAGTGGGACACTGCTTTTAAAACTATAAAAATATGGAGCGAACCAACAGCAACGTTGTCATTTTTATAGAGAAAAACAGTATAATGTAGTGATTATTATGCATATGCACAGATACATAAGTCCTTTCACATGGAGTGGATGCACAACAGCAACACATACTCAATATTGATGTTATTTAAACATGATTTATTATACAAATAACGCCAAAAGTTTGCATTTTCAATAATTTAGACCTTTACTATGCAATGACGAAAATTCTTCCCGAATGCTAGGTCTGTTACTAACATCTAACGCATTAATCGACGGGTGCAATGTATTTTAGCATTAAAATTCTTATACGCCATCGTCTTCATCTTTTTTGTTGCAATATTACAACAAAAAAAACAACCCAACAGACTAGTAGCCATTGCTATTGTGTACTCACTTTCATGATTTGTATTTTTATCAAATTGTCTACAACCACCACAGTAGCATCCACAAACGCCATTCCCATCACTGTAGTACGTGTCCCCCTTATCCAAGTCACAGCCATCCTTATAGATGCAGTCTATAAACACAAAAAAAAAACTGATGACGTCAGGGGGTTGGATCTGACCGGTGCGTATGCACCCTCCCTTCAATCTAAATTATCGAAAATCCACATTTTCCAGAGTAGAAAATTAAAAAATTATACCCCACCCTCCATTTTGTCAAAATTAATTAAAAAAAGAAAAGAAATTATATTGAAATTTAAGTCTTAGAGTGCCATCTCCGGCCATCTAGAAGTGACATAATCATAAATGTATTTACCCCAGGACTCTCAATCTGTAAATGTCATTTCCTTGCTTATATCAAATTCTTTGATCCCCCATTGACAGTGGGGATTCAAGAAACCCAATCGCCCAGCCCCCTCAATTTTTCAAAATTAAAAAAAAACAGGAAAAAATGATATTCGAGTTGTATGATAGTGCAATTTCTGGTCATTTGAAGGTGCTATAATCATAAATTTTCTTACCTCAGCCCCAACCATCATGGTGGAGCTGAGGTGGTATTTCTTCCATCTTCAAATTTCTAGATCCGCCACTGAAAACCGTATATGAATCATCAGAACTTAAGTTATCAAATATGCCTGAGCTCCGCCACCTCGATCCCAGCAGGGACCCCCGGAGCCATTTTAGTCCACTTACTACAAATACCTTACACAAAAACAACGCGAATTGAAACAATGACTCTTTTGAATATTTTTTTATTTTTATTTAACTGGTAATGCTGCAACTTTTTATATGATGTAATTGGTTGTATAGTATCGATTATATAGTTTATTATGCTTAATATTAATATTAATTTAAAATTAATTAATATTAGTAAATAAGATTTAAGTTACTTACTTGTGCAATTTAATCCATCGAAATGATCAGTGCATCTACAATTGTAGCCTTCTTCAACAACTGAACACGTCCCACCATTTCCACAGGGCTCATCAGCACATGGACTTACTAATCTGAAAAATACCACTCACTAGCAATCCACAACATATGTACGTAAAACATTATACAGAGGCCTAGTTGTTAATTCCCGAACATTCATTTTAAAAGATAAACATTTCAAAGTTTACAAAAGACAGTTAATTTCGACCGACATGTGATGCTACTGAAAGTTTATCGTTGATGGGTTAGTGTCTATCTTCAATCCTAAGAGCATCAGTAGATTAGCAGTCTTTCTCTACTCAAGCTCAAGCTTACCCATTACAGTTATTTTAATCGACTTTGATGTCAATCCAATGCTATTAGCAACATTCATTCTTATTGTAAACACTGTGACGTTAACATCTGGTACATTGACTGTGAAAGTTGCTTGGTTAGTGTCTGTGTCTTCAATTCCAGGAGGATCAGTGGTCCATTGATAAGTGACGTTACTAGGATTAGCTGCAACTTCAAATTCAATAACATACTGTTCATTCCGACTAACAGTGTCTTCGTTTGCCAGTCCAAATTCAGGTTTATCTGGAAGACAGAATCATAGTGATTCGTTAGAATTATAAAGAAGAAATAAAGGCAAATGTAAAAGAAAATGTTTAATATAAACCATAGCATATAAATTCATTATATTCTCAATCATTTTACTTCTTTTTATTATTATGCACTTATGAAGAAAAAAAATAAGGGAAAAAACTAACAGAAGTAATTGTATGTATAAATATATAAATGTTTTTCATTTGCTTTATTTTAACAGAAATAGTATTTACGTTAAAATGTCCATGTTTATCATCTGTCTCTTATACACATCTAGATGTGTATAAGAGACAGCATCTAACGCATTAATCGACGGGTGCA